CCTGCTTCGGATTCTGTGTCTCCATCTCTCTCTGCCCTTCTGGGTTCTCTCTCTCTCTCTTTCAAAAATAAATGAACATTAAAAAAAATTTTAAAGATTCTAAGGAATCCTATTGCTGGTTTAGTCCAGTTGGTATCCAATGTTCATGTAAATATTTTTCAGTGGCATTACTGACATTTATTTATTTTTGAGCATGAGCGGGGGAGGGGTAGAGACAGAGGGAGACAGAATCCAAAGCAAGCTCCAGGCTCTGAGCTGTCAGTGCAGAGCCTGATGCCGGGCTCAAACTCACAAACTGTGAGATCATGACCCAGGCAGAAGTTGGACACTTAACCGACTGAGCCACCCAGGTGCCCCTCAGTGACATTATTCATAGGACAATTCTTCTTGTGCAGGACTGGTCTATGCACAACAAGCATTTTAAAATCTTCATCTCTACCCCTAAATTCTGGTCATGATCACGATTTCACATCTCCATCTGTCAAGTGAATGTGACATCCAAAAATATTTCCCTGGATAAGAACCACTATAAGATGTTCTACTTTGTTAGGTGAAGTACCTCAGTTATTCCAGAGGGGATCACCATCAATAACAGTCTCTTCGTCAGCAATTTCTCAAGGAGGGTAGGAAGTTAGGTAGCATACTGCTCTTGATTTTATCAAATAATAGAGCAGTTTCACTGATTGTAGAAAAATTACAGAATACTTAGAATCTAACAGAATTTTCTTGTAAATACCATTGCTTCTGGAGGCAAACTCAGTTTCCTTTTAAATATTCTAAAAAGTTATTTCCTCAAAAAAAAGAAAAAAAACCCCTCTCAATTCTGGCACAGAAAGAAGAGAATAAAAGAACCTAAAGGCCCACCCACTTGTTCTTCCCACTTTTACTCTCACCCACTTCAAATTGTCAGAGGGAGGAGACTAATGAAAATATTTTTAATACCCTTTCAATATCTGGTATGAAAAACTGTTTGAAGTTTCAAATAAATTATAAAGTATTTCAGTTTTAGATCCTGCTCTACTACCACCAACCTAGCTGTATAAGCTTGACAAGTTTTATCTTCTCTAGACTTTAAGTTGCTTTCCAGTTCTAAAATTCTAACCATGCCAAAGCCTTCCAATTTAATTATAATCAATCACACCCAGTCTGTTGAAATTCTTAATATATGCCTATTCTCAATCAGTTTAAACAGTCAAAAAGTTGCAGAATGCATTTCACAAAGATCCTAAACAAGATTTAAAAAAAATTTTTTTAACATTTATTTTTTGAGAAAGAGAGTGAGAGAGGGAGAGGGAGGGAGGGGCAGACAGAGAGGGAGTGACAGATTCCAAAGCAGGCTCCAGGCTCTGAGCTGTCAGCACAGAGCCGGATATGGGGCTCAAACTCACAAACCTTGAGATCTTGACCTGAGCAGAAGTCAGAGGCTTAACAGACCGAGCTACCAGGGGCCCCCTAAACAGGATTTTTAAACGGTTTTTGCTTAAGGACCAGATTACACACCCATCAATTAGAATAACTGTGAACTGCTAATGTAACACAGATCTACAGACTAAAAGTAAAAAGTTAAAAAAAAAGAAAGCAATTGTTTCTTTGTACCTTCAGAGAATCACCCCTACCCTCCTCCTCCCACAGCTATACCTCACATTGAAGAACTGTTCAGAAGAAACAAAGAGCCCTCCATGAAAACATATTATCTTAGTTTCCTTTTTAAAATAGAAATTCCCCTTTCTTAAAATGACTGAATGACACTCTACCAAACAAGTTCTTATCCAGGATGAGATGTAGCCAATAACACTCCCCAAAAAGATGGACAATCCATTAGTCAAACCAGTCAAACATCAGTAATGGCTTTCATGTAACAGTCTCTGCCCTAGACAATGGTTATCATCCACTTTCTGGATCAGACAGGAAATGAGGCCCCTGAAAATCAGACCTCCTATACATAGAAAAGATGATTACAGGCCATTTTAAGTTGTATCTGTTAGTGAGTTTGTCAATGGTACATTTACTGTAAGGACAATCACAAGAAAGACAATTTCCAAAAAAGGCAGAGAACTTGAGAAGTGGACATAATAGTTGAACTGAAAACTTAAATACTAAAATATTCAAAATAGGCCATTTGGGTGTTTCTCCAACTTTAAATGCATACAAATCTTTTAGGAAGATTTAGACTGCAAAAGTCTAAACCAATTCAGTAGTTCTAGACTGAGATGCTGCACTTCTTTTTTTTCTTTTTTTTTAACATTTATTTATTTTTGAGAGACAGTGAGTGGGGGAGAGGCAGAAAGAGAGGGAGACACAGAATCTGAAACAGGCTCCAGGCTCTGAGCTGTCAGCACAGAGCCAGATGCAGGGCTCCAACCCACAAGCAGTGAGATCATGACCAGAGCTGAAGTTGGACACTTAACCGACTGAACCATCCAGGTGCCCGGAGATGCTGCATTTCTAATAAGCTGCCGGGTAATGCCAAAGATGCATGGATCACACTAAGCAGCAATGGAGATGAAACCATGGCTAAGTGCCCCCCTCCCCCCCCCCCCCCGCCACACACACACATAGTTTCAAAAGAGAAATAATTCTTTGATGATATTTCTCCAAGTTTTTCTTTCTTTTAGTTTTGTTTTTTAAAGGGCAGTTTTTATTAGTAAATATTGATTGATTTCACCTAGTGGGGTAATTTTGTATCCAGCAAAATCTCAATTCAAATTAACATGAAAAGAAAACCTGTCTAAATTATAAACAAGAGAAACATAGAAAACTGAACAGAACAATGGCATTGCAATGTTATTTCTCATTCTAAATGGAAAAATTCCTAAATGAATTAGGTTCTACACATTCAAACCTGAAGACAGCAAATATTCTATAAGGTGACCAATAAATGGTGAGTTACTTAATGCTAATAAACTAGTCTGTTGTGAGAGGCCTTCCTCTTCAAAAACAAAAACATTCTCTGCTTTTCCTCTCCATGAGACTTTTTTACTATGTAGCTACCAAACTGAACAAATTGCTGCTCACACAACATAAACTTAGAATAAGAACAAACTACATATTCTGCAAAACTGATGAAAGTTGCTGAGAAAAATCATGTGTATCATTAGGTACACAGTTATCTCTAGAGCTTGCGATGTAGTAAATTCTCAACTTCATTCATTCAAGAAATATTTATTAACCACCTACTATGTGACACGTACTTTGCTAAAGGTAAAAATAAAAGCTTGTGTTGGGGAGTCACTTAGACCTTTCAGATTCTGGCTTGGCTACTTAATGGAAACTTTTTAAATCTAAGCCACAGTTTCCTCCCAGATATGGTGATAATTAGACTATAAAATGTAAATAAAATGCCGAACATTCTACCTTGTATGTGATAAACAATGGATAAATACTATTTGAAATATGAAGTTTGAGTAAAAAGTGGATCCTGTCCTCAATAAGTGAGTTTTTTTACTGTATGGCTCTATGTTAGATTATGAACCAACATTAAAGTGAGGTACAGAAAACATGTCTGGACAGATAAATCCACTATCAAAACAAAAACAAAACAATCCCCTCAATATATAATGAATCCCATAATTGAAATGTGACTTGGGTTAGTTTATCTCCTATGCACACTAATGTCTTCTTCTCTAAGGAAAATAATAAAGTACATCATAAATAAAAAGAACAAATGTTCGAGCTATGTGGTTTTATGCACAATAGAATCACGATGGGGTACAATTAAACACAACTTTAGTGAAGCAGTAACTGCTTAACAGATTTGTACACCATTAACCAATTCTCTTCCCATCACCTTCAAAAAGGCTACCCAACAGTAGTCTTTTCTTACAAGCATTTATCCTATATGTAACCAGCCGATAAAGCAAATAATTCTGAAAACACACCTGGTAACAACGATCTAGTAAAGAAACAGAAGCAGTACATCAAAAGATTTAAGAGCGCTGGAGTCAACTGGGCCAGGTGTCCATCATTTCTAGCCAGCTATGGCATTGGCCAAGTTTCTTTAAATAGTTCCAAACTTCAATTTCTTTATCTGAAAAATGGTAGCACCAGTACCTAATAATTGCCACAACTATGAAAATGAACTAATACAAGCAAAGCACTTAGACAAATAACCACCGAATAAATGTTAGCTATTTGCTATTATTTACAATGAAAAACCTACAGTTTCTCTTAGTAACCATTAAACTAATAAAAACGTACACGTTTTAGGGTCTTACAGATCCTTCAACTTCTGTTAGTTTGAAGTGATCCAAAATGAGGAACAAGGATAAGGCAATAACGTGTATTACCCAACACTTGATCCTCCCATCCTTCTTCACAGCCTTCATTTGTAAAGTCCTAAAAGTAAGCAAAATTGGCCTAACCGGGAACAACAATTTAATTCTGGCTTGTCTAAGGACAAAGGCAGGCTGCTACACTGCGAGAAAATAAAGAGCAAAGAGGTTTATACAGACAGGAACGAGGTGGCGGGTCACCCGACTGAAGAGCAGAAGGACCAACCATCCCAGACACGGCGCTAACCCAGGTCACCGTGGCTCCTCCCAAAGAGGAAGCAGAAGGCATTCAGCCTCACCGGTGACGCTCACCGGTGAGGCCCACCGTGACACTCCGAACCCGAAGCAGCTCTCACGGAGGGTAGCGCGTGCACAGCTTCGACAGAGCCGGCCGCAGGGGTCCAGACTTCCCGTGGGCGCCTCGAGGCCGAGCCCAAGCGCCCGGCGCGCCTAGCGCGCCGACTCTACCCGGAGGCCTGAGTCACCGTCCGCGCGGCCCAGAGGCCCGGGCCCAGCCAGTTACCTTCCGCAGGGAACTCCTCGAACTCGTCGTCCTCCTCCAAGAGACCCAAATCTACTGGCTGCTTTTTCTCTGACATGACAACGCTCCGCGCCAAAACCCTCCCGGGCCAAGAGCAAAGTTGGAACTCTCACTTTTCTTCACCGAAGTAGCCAACACCACTGCCGCCTCTGAGACCGGCTCTACCATAGAGACGGGATAGAAGAGTAACGGGAGCGGCGCGCGGAATGCTGGGATAGTGGAAGTCCGCCCAGCGCTACCTGCGGGTTTAGCAGTCCGTCAGAGTTAGAGGCGGATTATTTTGAGCATTTACCGTTTTATCTGGACTCTCTGAATTGACAAATTTGGCGTCCGGGTAGGTTTTCCTCACTGGAAGAGAGACTCGTGTTAAAAAATTAAACACCTTTACTTAGTTCACGTCTGAGGCATAAAGTGGCCGCTAAAATTCCTGAAGGGCCTAAAGGTCAGGCCCTTAATATGGATTAGCTCCATCCTTAAACCAATTCCCTAAGCGGTTTGATATTAAATATTTCCAGTCACAGAAAATTCAGGTTCAGAAAGAAATAGGCAAAATCAGTAAGGCAGTGCTAGACAATCCAAATACAGGTTTGTTTACCTGACTTTAATCTCCACAAACTTTTACATTATTCAGTGTCTCCATCTTATAATTACGCAGTGAATACTGTGTTAAACAGTGTGTTTCTGTGTGTGTAATAACTAGTTTACAGGTTATTATAACATAATACTATGTAAAATTCGATACATGTAACATTTTATGGTGTTCAAAATGTATCATTTTGAATTTTTCAAATATTAAAAACTTTTTAATGTAGCTGTGAACTATATAGATCTGTTACATGGGTATGTAATATTCTAGATGGACATTATGTAATATAACATGTAATTGAGTATTATAAATTTTGATACAATGTTTGTATATTTCAATCCTATTCCTTCATTCAACAACAATAGTTTAGGTCATGCACTAGGCATTATACTGGAAATCAAAGATGTATAGACAAAGTCCTTACCCTCCAGGAATTCAGAGACATGTAAACAGATAAATCACAGTGGAACATAGCAATACATTTGAATGTCTACCTTAAAAGGAAATTATCTGAGAAATGAACAGAGTGTATGGGTGTACAGATCAACTAAATATAGCACAAATTTGGACTAGAATTTGGGATCCTACAATTAGATATAAATTAAGGGGAAAATAAGATGAGTATTATAATACTATTTTGATTTCTATTCATTACTAAAAACATTAGCAGTCCTCAAGTTCAAAGTGTATGTAATTTGACATATTATATAAATAGATGCCATAAGAAGAAAAAGAAGAGAAAAGATGAGGAAAATCTAAAATTGGAAGTAAATTGGAAGTAAACTAAAACTGTAAGTAAATGTAGACAGTGGAAATGTAGAAAGAATGTAGTATATTTCTTCTTACTAAAATCCATACTGGGACACCTGGGTGGCTCAGCCGGTTAAGCATTCGATTCTTGATACTGGCTCAGGTCATGATCTCACAGTTCATGGGTTTGAGCCCTGGGTCAGGCTCTGCTGACAGCATGCAGCCTGCTTGGGATTCTCTCTCTCTCTCTCTCTCTCTCTCTCTCTCTCTGCTCCTCCCCTGCTCGCTCGCTCTCTCTCTCTCTCTCTCTCTCTCAAAAATAAATAAATGAAATGAAATAAAATAAAATCCATACGTATGGCAGCATTTGCTAACCTTGATGAGCTATCTTAGAATTTCACACTCTCATGCCTTCTATCATATATACATTACATATGCCACTGGGAACAACATACCAAGGTAAAGCTTTGGGCAGGCAGTTTGAGTTAGGCAGCAAGGAATAAAAAACAAATCACAGGTCTGAGATTGCCATTTTTGTGCAGAGATAAAAGATTTGCCTTACGACATATTCATAGAGACAGAAAGATTAACAGCTACCTGGAGATGGGGAAGGGCGGAATTTGGGACAAACTACTAATAGATATAGGTTTGTGGGGTAATAAAATATTCTGAAACTAGATAGTGATGATGGTTGCAAAAACATAGTGAATGTACTAAAAACTACTGAGTGTACACTTCAAAATGATAAAGTTTATGGTATGTGAAGTATATCTGAATTTTTGTAAATGTTATTAAAAATTTGGCCAAGAAGTCAGGGGTCCCAAATTCTAACTCCTGTGTGTATTATTTAATTTATTTGATATATAATTGATGTTTGTATGAATTCTTAGAAAAAAAAAACAATAGCAATGTAGTGATTTCCCCCCTAAAACTGAATATATTTAATGTAAAGGAATAATTTACAAATAACAATTTTATGTTAAATTTTCTATTTTTGATCTGTTAAGTCCAGAATGTTGGAACCACTGAAAAAACTTATTTTAATCATGTGGCACATTCCACAATGAGCAACTTCTCACTTAAATGGTCATGGCACATGGAAAAACTCTGGAAAATGATAGCTATTAAAGTGTAAGAGACATTATTGCTTTGCTAACTTAAGTGCATAAGAATACATATTTGAGGGGCGCCTGGGTGGCGCAGTCGGTTAAGCGTCCGACTTCAGCCAGGTCACGATCTCGCCGTCCGTGAGTTCGAGCCCCGCGTCAGGCTCTGGGCTGATGGCTCAGAGCCTGGAGCCTGTTTCCAATTCTGTGTCTCCCTCTCTCTCTGCCCCTCCCCGTTCATGCTCTGTCTCTCTCTGTCCCAAAAATAAATAAATGTTGGAAAAAAAATTTTTTTTAAATAATAAAAAAAATTTAAAAAAAAGAATACATATTTGATGAACCAGCATATAAATCTAGGCTCATTTCCTACTAAATAGGGGGTTTAGGCAAATTGCTTAATTTCTCCAAAATATATTTTAGTGATTTGATAACAAAGATTAAATGACTGTATCTATCTCTATATAGATATACATGTACATTATAGATATATATAATGGGCATAGCACAATACCTGGCATGTGATAATTGATAAATACATATTAGCTCTTATTAAATAAGGGACTTCAATTTTAAATATCTCAGACCCTCTATACCAACCGTAAAAGTCTTTAAATGTGGGTTCTGTTTCCTTCCCTTCCTTCCAAGGAAGAAGTCAGTTCCTCCACAAGTTAACAATAGCTAACATGTATTTAGTGTTTACTTTGTATCAGTCACCGTGCCAAGCCTTTTCTGTGTATTAAGTGAGTACGAATGAAATACATTTAATACTTGAGGGAACTGAGGCACAGAGAGGTTGTAATATGGCCAAAGTCACAGTGCTAAGAAGTGACAGAGCTATTGTATTCTAAGGGCTTTTTATTTTATTTTTTAATATAATTTACTGTCAAATTGGCTAACATATAGTGTGTAAAGTGTGCTCTTGGTTTTTGGGGTAGATTCCTATAGTTCATCGCTTACATGCAACACCCAGTGCTCATCCCACCAAGTGCCCTCCTCAAGGCCCATCACCCATTTTCCCCTCTCTCCCACCTCCCCCCATTAATCCTTAGTTTGTTCTCTGTGTTTAAGAGTCTCTTATAGTTTGCCTCCCTCCCTCCTTGCTTGTAACTTTTTTTTTTCTCCTTCCCTTCCCCCATGGTCTTCTGTTAAGTTTCTCAAGATCCACATATGAATGAAAACATATTATCGATAGCTGTCCTTCTCTGACTTATTTCACTCAGCGTAATACATTCCAGTTCCATCCACATTGTTGCAAATGCATGATTTCATTCTTATTGCCAAGTAGTATTCCATTGTATATATATACCACGTCTTCTTTATCCATTCATCAGTTGGTGGACATTTAGGCTTTTTCCATAATTTGGCTATTGTTGAAAGCGCTGCTGTAAACATTGGGGTACACGTGCCCCTATGAATCAGCATTCCTGTATCCTTTGGATAAATTCCTAGTAGTGCTACTGCTGGGTCATAGGGTAGTTCTATTTTTAATTTTTTGAGGAACCTCCACACGTTTTCCAGAGTGGCTGCACCAGTTTGCATTCCCACCAACAGTTTGCATTTGTTTCTCCACATCCTCGCCAGCATCAGTTGTTCCCTGAGTTGTTAATTTTAGCCACCCTCACTGGTGTAAGGTGGTAGCTCAGTGTGGTTTTGATTTGTATTTCCTAAGGGCTTTTAAAAGGATAAGAAAAAAAGCATCTCAGTGTGTAGAGAGGCAGACAGTTGACACAGGAACCCCTGGAATCATTTCTACACTGCTGAACATACACATATATAGGAAAATAACAAAGATGTAAATGTAGACAGAAGTGCAGAAGGCAAAGAGGTAGAATGAAGAAGAAAATAAAATCTTAATATTGACTTAGCTGTGTATGGCTAGGAAACCCTCCACAATGTGAGAGAGAAGCATTGTTTATAGTCAAAACTATGCCTTTACATATCATATCTGTAATTGGTTGATTATATTTAACTTCAGAAGAAATCAAGCTAGCAGCAGATTTTTTAGTAGGTGATTCCATTTGTCTCTGGCAAATCTTCCCCCCCCCCCCCCTTAAGTTTCATTTGGGATCTACATAGTTTTAGTTGTACCACAAATACCTGAATGCTTAAGTTTGCTATAGAGTGACCATTTAGTTAATGAGGCAGAATGGATTCTGCAAGATTGACCTTTCTGTATCTGTCTCTATCCAGGAAGAAATGGTGAGTGACTGCTAAGTGAGTGATAGCTGGAGGAAGGAATGATTTCAAATGCACCTTCATTTTTTTCTTCAGGGGGTCACAGCTAATTAGCCAGCCATGAAGACTGAAGAGGCACGTCTACATATCAAGTTTGTAAGACATCCTTTCAGGGTATGTAAAAAGCTTTGGTTCTAGAGTCACTCTACCCAACTCACACTCTGCTACTTACCAGCTGAGGGATCCTAGAAAATTACTTTCCCTCTTGGACCTCAATTTTTTAGATTTGAAATGGGAGGAATAATTACTTTCCCTGTGAGGTTGTTACAAGGATTAAATGAACTATTTCATGTAAAACACTCAGAAGGCATGTGGTAAATAGGCAGTAAATAGTAATAGTTTGAAGTAGAAAAGAGAATGATAATGCTGATTTCTGCCCTCTAGCAATGCATAAAATTCCTCAAGAGTTTATTTCCAACAGCATCCATGCTTGTCATCAAGAAGTACTGAACTTTTCCTATGTCTTATCTATCTTTTTATCTGCCCTTTCTAACATCCAGAACACAACTATTTGTTTCAGCTTTTCTCTCAGTCTCCGAGGGACAGGTCCTAGATGAAATTAAATCTGTAAAGCACACTTTTAGGACCCTTCTCTACACACCAGGTCACAACATTTAGACAACTATCAACACCATCAACAGAGCTTACATAAATTTGTGGTAAATGTAGGTGTAACTCTGTTAGGAGAAAATTTGAAAGGGTGGGGTAAACTAAACCATATGTAATTTTCAGCAATGGAAATAAAGCAGGGGAAATGTAGAAAGGATGAGATTTAGAAAGTCTTTGGGATATAGTTTATAGAACATCTCTTATTTCATATAAATCTATAGCTCCATGTTCACATTTTCATTCTTTCTGGACTTTTAAATTTTATTCACTTTCCCCTGAAACAGATCTTTAAGGTCTTTAAGAAAAGTGAACTATAATTATGAAGTCAGACTCTGAACATGTGCAGCTAGCTCTATACCCTGCTGTGATCTATTTTTTTTTAAATTGTGGTAAGAGCACTTAATATATCTACCCTTTTACATTTTTATTATTTATTTTTGAGAGAGAGAGAGAGACAGAGTCAGAGTGTGAGTGGGGGAGGGGCAGGGAGAGAGCGAGAGACAGAATCCAAAGCAGGTTCCAGGCTTTGAGCTGTCAGCACAGAGCCTGACATAGGGCTTGAACCCACAAACCGTGAGATCCTGACCTGAGCCAAAGTCAAATGCTTAACAGAGCCACCCAGGTACCCCTACCCTCTTACATTTTTGAACACATAATACATTACTGTTAACTATAGGCATGATGCTATACAGAGGATCTCTAGAACTTACTCATTTTATATAACTGAACTTTATAGCCATTTAACAGCAATTCCCCCATTGCCCTCTCCTCCCAGCCCCTGGAAATCACCTTTGTATTTTCTGTTTTTACGAGTTTGACTATTTTATATACCTCATGTAAGTGGAATCATGTAAGGGCAATATTTGTCCTTCTGTGAGTGTCTTATTTTATTATTATAATGTCCTCCAGGTTCATCCATGCTGTTTAATATGTCAGAATTTCTTTCTTTTTTTAAGGCTGAGTAATATTCTATCCATTTATCTGTCAATGGGAATTTAGGTTGTTTCTGTATCTTGGCTATTGTGAATAATGCTGCAGAGTAAACATGGGAATCCAGATATCATTTTGAGATCCTGATTTCAGTTCTTTTGAATAAATTCCCAGAATTGGAATTGCTGGCTCATATAGTAGTTCTACTTGTAATTTTTGGGAAATCTTCATACTGTGTTCTATAGTGGCTACACCATTTTACGTTCCCAAAAACAGTATGTAAGGGTTACGGTTTCTCCATATCCTTGCCAATATATGTTGTTATTATTATTATTATTACTATTATTATAGCCATCCTGACAGATGTGAGGCGATATCTCATTGTGGGTTTTTTTGTTTGTTTGTTTTGTTTTGTTTTTTGCATTTCCTTGATGATTCAGGATGTTGAGTATCTTTTCAGATACCTATTAGTTATTTGTATGTTTTCTTTGGAGAAATGTCTATTGAAATTCTTTGCCCATTTTTTAATTGGGTTGTTTGTTTGTTTGTTTGTTTGCTATTGAATTGTAGGAGTTCCATATGTATTTTGGAGATTAACCCTTTATTACCTTTATTAGTTACATTATAGTTTGCACATATTTTCTCCCATTCTGTAAGTTGCCTTTTCACTTGATTGTTTATTTCCCTGTGCAGAATTTTTTAGTTTAATTTAGTCCCACTAGTTTATTTTTGCTTTTGTTGCTTGTGCTTTTGGTATCATGTCCAAGAAATTAGTGCCTAGACTAGTGTCTTGAAGCTCTTCCCTATGTTTTCTCCTAGGAGTTTTACAACTTCAGGTCTTACATTTCAATATTCCATTTATTTTGAGTTGATTTTTGCACATGATATATGTTTAATGGTTTGATTTGTGGGGAGTGGGTAAAAACAAAATGAAATATAAGGACATTTCCTTTTAAAAAGATAAAATTTGAAAATATGTCATTTGTGAAATAAAGGGATATTTTTTCATTCTCTTTTCTCAAAATTACTTAACGTTGTTTATGGATTTTATTCTAAACCTACATGATGGACAGATGCCACATGCAGACACAGTCCCTCCCCTCTCAGAGTTTATATCCTAGTAGCTTCCATCAGTCCAACTGGAATAAAGCAAAAATTTGTTTGGAGCAAATATTTGAGACTAGCTGTGTTTCTAAACTTTAATGTGCATTCAGGCCACATTTAATGAGGTGACCTCATTAAAATGCAGCTTTTGAATCAGTTAGTCTACCTAGGGCCTGAAATTCTACATCTTTAAAACAATTTTTTTAAGTTTTATTTATGTATTTATTTTGAGAGGGAGAGAGAGAGAGAGAGAGAGAGAGAGAGAGAGAGAGAGAGAGCACGCATGAGCAGAGAGAGGGAGGGAGAGAATCCCAAGCAGGCTCCACACTGTCAGGGCAGAGCCTGAGGCAGGGCTCAAACTCATAAACCGTGAGATCATGACCTGAGCTGAAATCAAGAGTTGGATGCTTAACTGACTGAGCCACCCAGGTGCCCCTGAAATTCTACATTTTTAACAAGCTTTCAGATTGCTGTTCTGGACACTAAGTTTTAAGAAGCAAGGGTTAGATGAAATGGAAGAGAAAATATCCGAATTTCTGAACATTGATCCAGCTAACAACATTGCATGACTAGTCTATAACTTGTGGCTCCTTTAACAGTGTAAGGGAGAAAAGACTTTCACTCTTCTACTAGGTTCAATAGCTGAGTCTATAAAATGAATTGATTTTATAGGTATAGGTAGATTAACAGGAGAAATGGTAATTTATTAATTTTTAATATTATGTTTATTAGGACATCACAGAGGGGAAAAAAAGTGAAAACTCAAAAAAGTGGTGAGATTTGAGAATTTATATGCTATCTTTAACAGAGGAAGGAGAGGATATAGGCAACTTGGGGGACAGTAAATTATTTTTAGGGAAAATGAATGGGCCGTTAGAAGAATAGATGGGAGATATAATAATTTGTGACAAAGTTTGTCTGGCTGTGGTGTTGACTTCTGGTCTCCTCCCAATGGTAGGAGTCAATCCCAGGGAGGGAATTTATGACAATTGAATTACTTTTGAAGGCTCTTTTTTTATGAAGCTGAGGGAAGTTCCGAGAAAGCCTCTCCCTGCATTTGTTGTTTTTCAAGTGCCTTCACCTCAAAATAATCACTATACCAAAGTGTCATGTTTTGGGGTAGCATATCCAGAACTCCTTCAACAGCCATACTAAATTAAAATGCTTGCTTCTTACTATTGGAACTTTACCTCTGAAATTTTCTTGCTCCTTAAACATTAAGAAGCTTATCTCTTAGAGGGATATATATCTGTGAGCAACTCACACATCTTTATTAATATTATTATCTATACTCAATGATCGGTTCTGGACTTTGGAAAGAATTACAATCCCAATAAAAGAAGATTTCTTGGTTCTTTTAACATGACAAAATGCTTGGATAAATAAAAATGTGAAAACTTATAATTGCAAAATAACTCTAAAATATCTAGATCTCATTGTAGAGCAATTAATAATGAATAAAGAAGTGGTTATATAAAATCCAAATACTAATAATGGTAAGTACTTAATCTACCCAAAGGAAAAGCCCAGCCAAAATACTCATCTTGCACCAAAATACATGTTCAAAAATCGATATTTGCATGCCGAAGTCTTGTTTGAAAAGGCGATTATGGTCTCACAAGTAAATCATAAGAATTTTAAAAATTTTGTAAATGCTGTATTTATATGACAGACAAGAACCACTCTGAAGGAATCATTATGGTTTGGGAAATGATATGCAATTTCAAAATCATCTAAATCATTTCAATTGCCTGTATTTACATTTATATAATGGGTATTTATAATGGTGATTATTTTAGAACTTACCTTGTTTTCCAGGATCTCACATTGGTTTCTATGGGAACAAGAATGGCTCTGAAGAGGAGCATTTTAAGAACTCTTTTCACATTCAGTGACTGCTAACTGAACTGCAAATTCTGTTTGTTAACGGTTTTTAACTCTTAAATTTTAACACAGAAATAAAAGTTGGGCATTCTAGCTTCATAAATCATTTTAAATAATAAAAACTATTTTTATGAAACATCTGGCACATTGAAACATTAGAAAATAAAATAACTAGCTTTAGGAGCTAATAATTTGTTCACTTTATTAAATTCATTAGTGATTAATCCATATTGGCCTTGTGCTTTCTCTTATGTAAAGAAAACATATCTGATATATTGTTTCAATACATTTTCTCTGCTATTGATGTGTGTATATATGCTTTCTTACTTTTGTAAAAATTCCTTTAAAAAGCAGTATAAAATGTTATGCATTTAAAGTTTTCCTCTGCCAATGCCTCAGCCATCCTGTGCTATTATTTATCCTAGTACCATGTTATACCTTTACCATGTTCTCACACCAGCTGGAACTTATTTTTAGTGTTTTTTGAAACAAGCTCATAAGTCTTCAAGTTTCATTTTTTCTTTTTCTTGGAATAGATTTTTAGATCATAAAAATGTGTAACTTATGTTACATTTGTGCAGTTTACTATATTTAATATTTCCTTGCATTTCATGTTTTCCCATAAACTTTATTTTTTTAATTCCCTGGAGAAATGATATTTCAGTTTATTTTTATTTAATTCCCTCTCAAAGTAATTAAAACCCACTAAAAATAAGAGAAGCCTATTTCAGAAAAGAGTGCTAAAACTAAATTTTTGTTATGCCCAAACTATAAAAGATGCCGGTTGAAAGCACGTGGCATCTTATAACCAGCTTATGTAATAGTTACTCCAGTTATTGGTGACATATAATCTGCGTCTTAAATCCAAAAAGTGCAGGTTGATGGCAGAGTGCCAGACAAAGTGGAATAAGCGAGATTGTTTTTTACCTTCTTGGACTGGTGGTTTTCTGCTGTCAACAGTGTTGCCCTGGCCGTGGTCAGCATTGCTAGAGACTAGTGACAGTTTGAACAGTGAAGCAACTGGCATTGTGTGACCAAGAGACTATCCTGTAAGATGCTGACTTGGTGTAAACTCCAAGAGATGTATTTTTCTTTCATAAACATATTTTTCATTCAGATTTGATTTTATGAAATAAATTAGGGATTATTACACTTCAAAAAAAGTGAAGATAAATAAATGGGAAACATGTAACCAAATATTTTGGGGAAATGATTAATTGGCTCTTTTTTCTAAAAGTTGATTTTCTTTTCTTTTTTTTTTTTTTAATTTTTTTTTTCAACGTTTATTTATTTTTGGGACAGAGAGAGACAGAGCATGAACGGGGGAGGGGCAAGAGAGAGAGGGAGACCCAGAATCGGAAACAGGCTCCAGGCTCTGAGCCATCAGCCCAGAGCCCGACGCGGGGCTCGAACTCACGGACCGCGAGATCGTGACCTGGCTGAAGTCGGACGCCAACCGACTGCGCCACCCAGGCGCCCCTAAAAGTTGATTTTCAAGTAAAGCAGAAAACAAGCTGAAAGGTAAAAGCAAGTACTATGTTAATCTTCATAAGAGAAATATTTATAAAGTATCCGAATCTGAAAGTGAGGACAATGATGGTTAGGGCTACTAAAAGTAGGGTCCGTGAACCATTGCCCATTTGGGAAAAGATAAATATAAAAACTGACTCTTCCTATTTCATCCAACCCCGTGATTTTGTATTTTGAAAAAATCAGTCCATGGCATTTGAAAATTTTTGAAAGCTGCCCTTTACCACAATTAGTTTGAGCTGCATTGATCTAGCATAAATTACTATAAACCAGAAAAAAAAGAGTGCCATTTGAACTTCATAGTATTGACAATAATTTATTCCATGTGATTCTGAAAGCTAGGAAGTGAAAGGTTTTTATCTCTGAAAGATCTCTCTTTAGCCCTAATATAACATCTTTATTTTCATAAGATTACAGCAAAGCAGGCTGAAGCCAATATTCTCTCCTTTTGCAGATGGAAAAACAAAAGTACAAAGAGCTTAAGTGAGATGTCTGATATTACACAATTATCATCAAAATTTTAAAGTCAAGGGAAGAGCATTGCATAGAACTTGTTTAATAGTCTGATGAATAAAATAAAAACACCCTAGGTTGATTATGGCAGCAAATTGGATATATTTGCAATTCCTTATGGTAGATGGCAGTGCTTTGTCTTAAGGTTTCAGAAGGAAAAGCATTATGTTAGTCATTCAATGGATGACTAGTAAAACTACACATACTAAATAAAAAGGTAAGGAGTTTGAAAGAATTCACTAAGCAAAACCAAAATTGAAGAGAATGAAGGTAGGAATGCATGCATAGTTGGCTAAAGAACTGATATAGCAGAAATATAAGTCCACACTTCTTTGAAAGATATAAAATCCCACAAGGGAAAAGGCTTGACATCTTGGACACATAGAAATAAAATGAAAATAGAAAGGGAGAGTTTAGACATACACTAGGAATTTTTGTTAGTTGTTGAGAGTTATTAGGTTAGTTGAGTGGGTGCCCAAAGGAATCTCTGAGGACACTTAAAACCTCATTGAACAAAGCCGTGGACATTGTATTGTGCAGAGCAAGACTTCAATGGCAAGGGGGATGGACTGGATCAACCATGAGGTCTTTTTCAGCTCTAATTTCTAGTATTCCATAGCTCTGTGAAGAATAGTTGCTAAATTGCTTGATCAACCCAGACAAACAAAACACAAGAATAAAACTCCAGACAAAACAATAAAGTTAGCCAAAATTGAAACACGCCCCTCCAAAAAGAAAAACAAAAACCCTAAATCTTGCATCATACACCAAAGACGACAAATTCAGGCTCCTGGCAACCTGCCCAGAGAAATGAATTCCAGAGACAGGACCCTTCAGGGAGCAAGCCCAACTAGAAGGCTGGGAGAGTTCAGCTTCACAGTTAGGCTTGCAAAACCTTCCAGCTGATCTTAATACTAGAGCAGGCTAAAAAAGTGAAAAGGAAAAGAAATCTGTTAAAGAATCTGGTCTATGAGTGAACTATTCATTCCACAAAGATTTGTGGAGTGCCTGCTGTAAGCCAACCACTACTCTAGGGTAGGGTACATCAGTGAACAAAACAGACAAGATCTCTGTTCTTGTGAAGCTTACATTCTAGCACAATGAACAATAAACAACACAGGATGGTGTATCATAAGGAGTAATGAGTGCTAAGTGGGGTAAAAAGATGAGGGACAGGGGATGGAATCCCAGCAGGTGACTGTATTTAATAATGCAACTGGGGTAGAACTCATGGAGGAGAGACATCTGAGCAAGACTGGAAGTGAAAGGAGGTAGCCAGGTAAATTTGGGGGGAAGAACATTAAGGATAGGAGGAAAGTCAGAGCAAACCTGGTGTGTCTGAGGAACGGGAAGGAGGCTAGTGTGGCTGGAGGGGAGTGAACATAAAGAAAACCATAGAGTGAGTCAAGGAAGCCTAGGTTGTTAACAGGACCTTGTCTTTTACTCCATCTGAGTTAACTACCCACAATATCTTGCTTCTAGGATTCTAGGAACTCAGTAAGAAACTAATTCATTCCAGGTATCAAATTTCCTAGGAAACCATTCCACCCATATATCAATAGTGTTTCTTCAGTTTACTTAAGTCTGTAAGTTTTACTAATGTCAGCATTATCCAGGGATGTGGGCCCTTAATGTAAAAGTATGTCCTATAATTACTGCTACTGAGAATGAGGAAGACTCATCAATATTGAAACTCTGGATATTTGCTTCCATTTATTTTTAGACCAGCAATAAAAAAATCCAAACAAAATTGCATTTGTGATCTTTGTACGATATTTGCACATATATGAAGTATGTCTTCTGTCACAGAAAATAAACCCTTAATATTGGCAATTCTGTTACAGGCTCATGTTCTTGAAATCTAATCTTTACTAGGGACTTGATAAATATTTAAACATAAGGAAAAGCATACATCAATTTAGAAGACAAAAAGTGGATTTTGCTTTTGAGAAGTAAAGACAATATGAAAGGAATTATTAGATGTTTTCAGATATTTGAAAAAAATTGTAATAAAATTAAAAGTTAAGTTAGAAAATCACTCTCAGTGTTCATTCATTAATTGAAAAAAGTGTGCTGAGTGCCTGCAATGTGCCTAGCAAGTTTTCTAGATTCTACGGATACAAGAATGAACAAGAACAAACAATACGCAAAGGCCTGCAGTCTACTATTTTATTCCAGTAAGATTCTCCTCAAGGAGGACAAGGAGTGGATCCCCATTACCAAGCTGGGCTACCTGGTCAAGGACATGAAGATCAATTCCCTGGAGGAAATCTCTGTCTTCTCCCTGCCCATCAATCATTGACTTTTTCCTGGGGGCATCCCTCAAGGATGAGGTATTGAAGATTATACCTGTGCAAAAGCAGACCCATGCTGGCCAGCTGATCAGGTTCACGGCATTTGTTGCTATCAGAGATTACAATGGACAAATCGGTCTGGGTGTTAACTGCTCCGAGGAAGTAGCCACTGCCATCTGTGGGGCCATCATCGTGGCCAAGCTTTCCATTGTCCTTGTGCAAGGAGGCTACTCAGGGAACAAGATCAGCAAGCCCCACACTGTCCCATGACCACTGTGGGTCTCTGCTGGTGTGCCTCATCCTTGCCCCCCAAGGCACTGGCATTGTCTCAGCCCCTGTGCCGAAGAAGCTACTGATGATGGCCGGTATGGACGACTGCTATACCTCAGCGAGGGGCTGCACTGCCACCCTGGGCAACCTTGCCAAGGCCACTTTTGATGCCATTTCCAAGACCTACCCCTGACCTCTGGAAAGAGACTGTGTTCACCAAGTCTCCTTATCAGGAATTTACTGACCATCTTGTAAAGATCCACACCAGAGTCTCCATGCAGAGGACCCAGGCTTCAGCTGTAAGAAAAATAAAGTGAATTAAAGCTTAAAAAAAAATCTTCTCAGGCAGTTCACCAGATAATTCCTGTGTAATAATATGCAATTGAGGACATGGATTCAAAGCTCATCTGCAACCCAACATCACCTTTTAAGATGGAATATGTTAGTAAAGGATGCTCTGTGCTTGTCCCCACCTCATCATTCCACTCTTTGAATATCCTCAAAGACTACATGCTGAATTTTTTTTAGGAACTTTAGGTAAGGAAAAGAGCATAGCATTTGAGTAAGAGCTGTGTTGTCCAGTACACCAGCCACCAGCCACAGGTAACTACTGAGCAATTGAAATGTGGCTAGTTCAGATTGAGACGTGCTCTAAGTATAAAACACACTGGATTTTGATGGCTCAGTTTGAAAAAGA